TCGGAACTGACATAACGAGTATGAACACGTTCACAGCAAATACATTTTATACGGTAAGAACCCTTCAAGATTCAGGTCAAGATTTTAGAATTTGAAAATGGTAAATTATGATAACTTCCCAATAAAACGTGTTCATTATTAAAAGAGGATGTGTTTCATTTTGTGGACTGTGACTTATTTTTACGAAAGAACATACTGCTTCAACTTCAACGTTAAAAAGGTCAGTGTCGTTATCAGAAAACTTCTTTCTGGGCTTCAATGTTGCCGAAATATTCTCTGATCGGCCAGGACTAAAACATTTATAAAAACAAATTTATTAGTAATTTTTTGAATGTTCGTCCTAACTGAAACAAAAATATCTGCTAGTGGTGGGCGTCGCAATGCCTACACGCCCAAGCCTCTCGTTCACGTATTTGTTCTGAATAATGAGATTATAATAAGAAATTGGTGCTAATTTTGTAATCAGACTCGATCGTGAGAAATATATCATACAACTATATCTGGTTCTTATTATTTAAAAAAAATTTGAATGTGAACATGATGTAAATATTTGACTCTAACAAAAACTTGATCTGTAAAATGAGAAACCTAACGGCAAGCTTACACTAACACTGCAGAACAGCAGGGAACGGTTTCCAAAGACAGCAAATGCATGAGCTGCTAAATTTTTTTATAACAGCGCTACATGAAAGTTGTTTCTGATGAATGAGCATGCAAAGTTTATGCAAATTTAGTATAAATGAAGCAAGAGAAATTAAATTAAATTTATATAACTAGCAAAGTATTGGTTAAGTATGTAAAATTATATGGCCATCACTGAAATGTGGTCAAATGAATGCGCGAAGATGTTCCTGCACCTGTATCTTATTAGCTGATCTTTGAGAAAAGAATTTAAATTAATAATAAATCATCTTATTCGACTCAAAACATATGACAACATTTGTTTATTATTTATTGGACCTGTATAAGAAAGGGCAATAGTTTTTTCATGCTTTGTATAATTTTATTGATAATAAAATTAAGAAAACAATTAACAATAATAACGAATAACATTAGCAACTAACAAGTCATTTCTACAACGCATTATATAAAGCATCAGGAGTGCAAGAATTTAAAATTTAGATAACGTAAAAATAATGAAGCACCCAGCATTCGAACGTTACTTCGGTCCGACTGATGTCATGTTGCGAGATTATATTTCAAAGAATCCTGGCTGCGACACGCCGAGAAGAGAAAATATTTAAAATGATGAAACACTTGAAGAGAGAGAGAGAGAGAATACAAAATGATCAGCCTTCAAATGGAACTTAAGCTCTTTTCTAACAAGTTTTATGTTTTCGCCTGCCTTTAAGATTTTTTTACTTTTTGTTTTTCTCTTTTCATTTAAACGTCTTAAAGGTATTTAAATCGAAAAGTTAAATAATAAATCAAAAGATGCATCGTTGTATGTAGGCAAGCTTAACTGTCTGTCTGCTTCACATATTTTAAAATAAATAATTTTAAGTTATTATTTAAAATTGTGTCCTTTGTTCAAAGCAACTTTCAAAGTGATAAATAATTAATGGGTAAAGTTTTCGACTTTGTATGATCTGTTTTATTTTCACCATTCTTAATTTCTTTCTGAAAAACCTCCTTTGTCGGCTGGGATATGTAGCCTGTTACAAAATGACATAAAAATAGCCTGGCTGTCTGTGAAGATTGATTCTCTTACGAAGATGGACGCGTCACATTTCAGATGGACCACTTGAACGTTCTGCAAAGAATGTGTTTTGTAGACTGTTTCATTGAAAACTCTCAAGATTCTTTCTTCTTACAGATTCTTTCTTCTTCACCCGTTTCTGGGGACAGTTTCAACAATATTGAAATGTTGAAAAAATCTTTTTAGCGTTATTCTTTTCTTGTCACTATTTTGAATTCTGTAATATAAAAAATTTTATAACAAGAAAAAATACCTAAATAATAAATTTTAATAAACTAAATTTTTATATGTTATGTTACCAAAAGATCGGATAAGAAGTTCTGACAGAAAGTTTGTTTGAAGCGAGTGGTGATGCAATATTTTGTTGTTGCGGATGGTCCGGTGAACCGGCATCCACTGCATCAAATTAATGAACCCTAACATTTAACGTAAACGTAACTTGTAAGACATCTTTCTAATTAATACAAACATTTACTGTAGTTTCTATTTTTCAATAAAAAAAAATTTTTTAAATATTTTTGAAGAGAAATCAATAGAATCACTTAGGTCGAAAAAATTGAATGTGTGGTTTAAATTGGTTCGTTTCATAGGAAATAAATTTGGTTTGAAATTTTTAAGTAAATTTTTAAATATAAAAATTTGAATTTGTTTTGCTAGGGTACGTACTACTGAATGAAAACTTCAATTAGCCGCAATTTAGTTTAAGTGAATCACTACGTAACAATGTTTGAATTAAATTTAAATTTTTTTGATATTTCTGATGTGGTCTTTGAGATTTCTGTCGATACCGTACATTTTTATCTTAAATTAAATAATTTCTGAACGTTTGTTGACTGACGACATTGTCAAATAACTTTATAATTGCAATGATATCAATATCAACCATACAGGAATCAAGACTTTTACACGTAGGAATTCCGTGAATAAAATTTGTGAATCTCGCAATATTTAGAAAGTTAACAAAAAATAATATATGAACAACACACTTTTGAAGTTGAATCATTGTTAAAATTCCATGGAATATTATTTAGTTTTGTTGTTAGCACTGGATGCATGGTAATGAATTAATTCACTGTTATAATTTAAATGTTTTTTTGCATAATTCACGCAAACGTTACACGTGCGGTGCAAAGCATTTGCTCAGCGGCTTCAAAGACCTCCTTTTATGGTGCTAATTAAATTATGCTCTCATTAAAATTTAATATTGGATCATATTTAAAACAGAACACAGAAGCAAGACAAACTATGTGCGTGTCTACAAAACATAACACAACATGACAACAAAATACAAGTTCAGATAGACAGGATAAACAATTTCACATGTTTATTACTAAAGTGTTTTCATATTGTTTCAATTTTTGTTCACATATAATTTATAAATAAGCCTTAAACTATTTACAGAACCGTCAACATTCTTGTCACTAATAACTTTCAGTCTGCTTTTAATAATATTTCAAAGAAATTGGTGCAACAAATTAATGAGGTGTTTATTTTTGAAATTTACTAATAAAAGCGACTTATGCATATTTGCACAAGCAGTTCATTCATGATATGCACCATTATTAGCAGTTCCAAACCAGGCTTGAAACTTTTGTCCTAGGCTTCTATTGAAATTCAATTTAATCATTTTCATTTTTTGGGCAAATTTTTCATTATAAAATACAAAAACCAAAGTAATTTCAGGACAATTCCTATGTTTATGAAAATATATTTGAACAACAATCGTTTTTGTCGGCAATTTTACACCGCACGCAAAATTCAAAACAACCTTACAAAAGCAAAGAAAATTATACCTTGAAGTTTATGGAACAGCGCTTAGGAAGTGTGCATTTATACGCACTGAAACATGTATTGAACACTGTGGAACAACGTGTTCTTATTATGAAATAATTGATGTTATACCTGCAAATTTGCACTTGCATATTAGTCATGTCACACGATCTAAGTAGAAACTGCAGTGCTGTATCGCTCAGACTTGCAAAAAATTAGACAACATCAAAATAATGTCAGGCAAAAAGTTTTATGTATGCATGTGTGTATGTGTGTGTGTATATGTGTGTGTGTATGTGTGTATGTATATATGTACGTACGTATGTATGTATGTACGTACGTATGTATGTATGTATGTATGTATGTATGTATGTATGTATGTATGTATGTATGTATGTATGTATGTATGTATGTATGTATGTATGTATGTATGTATTTATTTATTTATTTATTTTTATTTAGGACAAATAGCGCCCATTCAATGTTCTCACAGGCGCTTTCAAAAAATCAAACTTAAATATATACGTGCAAACAAAATAAATACAAAATAAAATTCAATGCAATTTCAACGAAAATAAAAATGACTTCAAATTCTTTTTAAATGATTGAAGATGAAGTGATGCAGGGAGACTGTTCCACACAGTGGGACCGGCAATTGCAATATCACGTGATCCAATCTGTAACTTTGCCACTGGCACCCTTAAGAGATTCATATCATCTGACCGAAGGCAGAAACTAGATGCCGTTCCTTTTCTGGTAAATTTATTGGTCATGTAATCTGGTGACATTCCGTTTAAAGTCTTGAACATGATCACACCAACTTCAAAAATTATCCTTTTATCAATCGTCAACCAGTGCAAATCATTCAAAATTGGCGTAATGTGGTCAAACTTCAATTTACCAGCAACCAACTTTGCAGCTCTATTCTGAACCTACAGCAGAATAGCAATAGATTTATCAGGTATTTTATACAACAAGCTGTTGCAGTAATCTAACCGAGATGTATGTATGTATGTATGTATGTATGTATGTATGTATGTATGTATGTATGTATGTATGTATGTATGTATGTATGTATGTATGTATGTATGTATGTATGTATGTATGTATGTATGTATGTATGTATGTATGTATGTATGTATGTATGTATGTATGTATGTATGTATGTATGTATGTATGTATGTATGTATGTATGTATGTATGTATGTATATATGTATGTAAGTATTGCCTCTTTGTTGATGGAAGCTAGGAGGGAGATACTTAAAATCAATCTCAGGTTTCAGTGTTTATTTATGTTCGGGGTTCCTGCGCAAAAGGTACTTCATTTCTCCATACAAAATACAAAAAGCATAAACGTTTGTAATAATTTTGATATGTATTGTTTTATATAACGTTTGGCCTCCGGATTGCCGATAACTCGATCCTCGATAACTTTTGCTATTAACAGATTGATGAACGTTTTTGTTTGCCCGTTAGTTGGACCAAACGCTTCAATGACATTCAAAGACATTCTAAGACATACAAGACATTCTAAGGCAACCCAGCAGTTTTTGCTTTTGAACCACACTTGCAATCATATCCCGTAATCACAGACAACCCAAATCTCAATCCTAAACTAGCACGAACGCCAGTATCATCCATTCTGGTACCATAGGCGGTGTTTGGAATCTTTCTCAACCATTCGAAGCCAAACTCTAAATGGTTGAGAGCAAACTGCTATAATCCTAGTTTTATCATGTATTGAGTTGGTAAACGGGGATAATCGATCGATCAAGCGATTCAAGGATGACGTGTCACTCTTTTTCGACACGGTATTTATGTCAACGTCCCCACAAAAGCTGCCTTCCACCCCATAAATATCTTCATTCTAACGTTATCAACATATGCTTCATCAGTTGGCAACAGCATCTCTTGTATGGATACCGTGGCAGCGGCTGAAGCCAAAAATACAAAAGATGCCAGCTTAGCCACGGATCCTAAACCTAGACCGACTGCAGACAGGAGCAAAATTGTTTGTAGTATTGTATGAATACTTCCGAATTGTTGGAATTAATCAATTTAAAGTTTATCTTTTCAATTTTCCATTTTTCATTTTTTTGGAAAGTGTTCAATTTACTAAAAATAAAATTATTCTCCAAGTTTTTCAAGAAAATTTAATTGTTGTTATCCAAATTCATCAAACATATATGCCTGAATTCGATTTTTTATAAATCATCTTCAGTTCAGGTTTGGCTTACATGGTTTCTTTGAATAAAGCAAAGTTAGTTTTTTAGCATAATGAGTTACTTAGTTGTTGTCGTATTCTTTATCTTTGTTGTTGTCATTTTGTTGTCATTTCTTTGTTCATCATTGTTATTGAAGTTAGTATTAAGGCGTCGAGTTGGTAATGATGTTATCCTTCTTTGTTGGATAAATGTTTGCTTCTTTCTATTAGGACAGTTTCTGCAATTTTTAGATGTTTCTGCAATTTTTTAGAGTTTCTGCAATTTTTAAATGTATTGTGTTGGTGTTTTAATAAATTGTTTTTGTGTTGTTGTCAAGAATTTGTCGGGTTATTGGAGTTGCATGTGTTGATTGCAAGTGAGATTTGATGGCTTCTCTTAGTGTATGCATTGTAAGACGTCTTGATAGTGAAGTGGTCGTAACACCAATATGCGAATGTTGTTGACGCGCACAGTCGTCCATAGGGCATTTAAATTCATATAGTACATGATTAGTTGATCTCTAGGACCAATTGTGATGTCTCACAATAACTGTAGTACATCCTGAGTATTATTTTATTAGTATAATTGATTGGTGTAACATTTTATTTTATGATTTGTTTGAGGACGACTTCGTCTATTTTATGTGCCGTTGGCATATGATTTCTGAAATATAGAGTTATGTCGTTGTCGTTGTTGTTTTTGAATATATTAAAAAATGCAAAATATTTATTAAAATTGAAATAAAAATTAATTTAATGAAACTCTTTTAATCTATTGACTTGATGATTTGATGCGCTCATATTTTATTAATCATTGAATTAAAGTTACAAATATTTCAATCATTAAATTGCTTCTGCCTTTGCAGCAAGAAATTATACCTGGCAAATAATAAATATTCTTAAATAATGGATTGGTTTTTGATCTTTGCGGCGTTTGATGATTGATGTAGATGCTCTGAAAACTTTGAATAATTGAAAATTAAGTTTGAAAACAGAGACACTAAAAACGTTAAAACATTTATTACTTTAAAAATCCAACTGCAAATCTATTATATACTAAATCTTGCAAGATGCCGAAACGTCGGAAATAAAGAAATAATTTAATAAAAAATTTTTGTTAAAAGTGGAAAAATTAAAATAGCAAACCAATTTAACACACCCACACCCACCCACACACACACACACACATACACACAAACACACACACACACATTTATTAATAATGCTTATATATATTTATTTAGATTTAGTTAAATATTTATTTATTTAATTATTCAGATATTTGCAGATATGACTTAATTTAGTAATTAAAGATTAAATGAAAAGGTAGTCCATGCGATAAGAGTGCAATACATAACTCAGTTGTCTGAATTCGTTGGGCGTTCGTAGGGTTTGAAAGCTTTAAAAAATAGTGCAACTGCGTGAAGTTTGAACGTAAAAATGCCCTGCTTGCTTGCGTCGCATACATTTTTTAGACTCAACATGTCTTTGTTTTGTAGGAAGGAAGATAACTTCTTCTCTCGCCCCAAAAAAATCACATACAAACACCATAACTATATATATATATATATATATATATATATATATATATATATACAGTATTGTTGTATGAATTCTACCGAATTGTTTGCATTAATCAATATAAAATTTGCATTTTCATTTTCCTTACTAAAATTTTTTCTGGAAATTATTTAATTTATTGAAAATAGAATTATTACCCAAGTTCATCATGAAAATTTAATAAAACTGTTGTTATCCAAATTCATCATGCCGATAGGCCTTATTTTGATTTTTCACAAATCATCTTCAGTGCAGGTTTAGTTTAAATAGTTTCTTCAAACATATTTTCAACACTTTAGCAAAGTGACAAAAACAACAAAAATAATTTATTAAAATACCAACACAGTACATCAAAAAATTGCAGAAGCTGTCCTAATGGATATCAATAAACCTCAAATAAACATCCAACAAAGAATGATAACATCATTACCAACTCAACGCCTTAATACTAACTTCAATAACAATGAAGAACAAAGAAATGACAACAACAAAGATGAACAATACGACACCAACTAAGTAATTTATTTTGCTGAAGAACTAACTTAGCTTTGTTTAAAGAAACTATATAAACCAAACCTGCACTGAAGATGATTTTTGAATAGGTCTTATCTGCATGATGAATTTGGATAACAACAGTTTCATTAAATTTTCATGATGAACTTGGATAATAATTCTATTTTCAACAAATTGAACAATTTCCATTAAGTTCTAGTTAGGAAAATTGAAAAAACAACTTTCAACAGACACACACACACACACACACACACACACACACACACACATACACACATACACACACACGCGAGCGCATATATATTCATATATACATATATATAATATATAATTATATTATATATATATATATATATATATATATACATACATACATACTTGCTGAAAATAAATATTGAACACTTGCAGTTAAATTGTGAACGTTCCTCGGATGCAAAATGTTTTGCATATGTCAGAGCAGTCCAATGAGTTACAAAATTTGATTAGGTTGCGGAGGAAGTAATATTCATGAAGGAGTTAATGCATTGCACCACAAAACAAACCGCTGCTATCAAATGTTTTATTTCCACGAAGATTATAAGTAAGGAAGTGTGAGTTATCTGGATAGAGAGCCATCATTATTCATCACGTCAGGCCGGCACGAAAACTGTAATCAATGTTTCTCTCATTGTGTCTGCCTGCCTGGACTGTGCATTGTTGGCTGGCTGGCTGGCATGTGTGCGAAGATGGTCAAGATTATATTGATGTTGCTGTTTTTTATTGCTTGGGTGGAAAATGTAATTGATTGAATAAATAGTTCGTTAAATATATATTGAGTATTCAGATTTGAAAGTGATATATATATATATATATATATATATATATATATATATAAGTATATAAAGAGGCAAAACTATATATATATATATATATATATATATTATATATATATTAAGATTTAGATAGCGCTTTTTAAATTGTAATCTCAAAAGCGTTCTTAATAATGATTAAAGCAATATTGTAAAAGAAAAGGTTTCATTGATCGAAAAGATAAATTTTTATTAGCTTTTGAATTTTTTGATGGAGAGTCCAAATAGTCTAAAGTAGCTTGGTAGATGACTATTCCACACTTCCTAACGAGCAATAGAAAACTTTTTTAACCAATTTTTATCGTGATGCTAGATGGTCACATCGTAATTTGTATGGTTTAAAAAACTTCGCTTTAGAAACCGACCAAATAATTCGCAGCGAGTCTATTTATGACCTTGAAAATCAGGAGCGAGATTTGAAATGCAACTTTTTTATCAACCTTTAGCCAATGTAGTTCTCGAAATATTGGAGTCACATGGTCATATTTTGCAGCTCCAACGACAAGCTTTCCAGAACGATATTTATATATATTTAGACAAGATATTTTCTTATAAACATTTCTTATTTTTATCATCTGTTATTCGCGGCTCATGATTTTTTGTTGCACAAATAGATTTATTGTTGGGAGCAGAGGCTGATAAATTAAATTTTCAAACTCATTCGTTTGACTGTTGTTGATTTAATTTCTACAAAACGCATTGGTGTAAAAGGTTAGTATACTTTAAAACAAGCTTTTTACTAGCAATTAATATTAGTTAAATGACAAGCAGACCTCTAAATAGGTGTTGAAATAAGAGAGCTGAGACCAACATCATTTTATTCAGTTATAGAATAAATTATACGCGTAAAAGTTCATGTTTCAAATATTATGTTTTAAAATTAATAGTAATAAATGCACTTTTCATCTTTAAAGATCGCGATGATATTTGTATGTTTTTACTTGTTTTTAAATCTGGAAGAGCTATCAACTTGTCGTTAATTATCTAGCGTTTTTGTACATTTTAGAATAGATGTCTTTATATTAAAATAAATTTTGTTTAAATTATTATTCGAGTTAGGACTAAATATAATAGTGTAAACATTTATAAGTCATACAATCAAAAAGTTAGTTTAAATTAATTAGTTCCACTCGATCAAAATGACCAAGGTCCCGCAATAAATAAAAAAAATTATTGACATGTCATTACATTAGAAATAAATGGACAAATTAACACCCACTTGTCAGAGGCTCAATCAAGCTCCTCCCGGCACGCCACACGTTCTTCTCGTCTTTCAACAGTAAAAAAAAAACAATTTTTATCTTTGAAATCAACAAAATTAAAAATCTACTGAAACACTCGATCATAATAACAGAACTTCAAACTTACTCATCGTGTCGTAGCATAAAGTTCTGTGATTTACGTTGCAAACATGCTTGTGATGATGATGAAGATAATTAAAAAAGTTAAAAACAACTATGTGACAAGCATGACAACAATCGAACCAACTGAACAAAACAAACAAAATATTATAACCATCGGTAATGATGGTTTTGTTGCATAGGACTGTTTGAAACAGGATAGAACAAAATTAAATTGATAATTGTTATCCTTAGTTTCATTTATTCGTTAATATTTTAGAAGAATACGATGAAATACTGACATGGTCTTGGTGGTGCTGGTAGAAAGTAATTAAACGTTCTTGTAATTGCGTCACCTGCCAGTGAGTTATAATACTTTTATTAGAGCTAATAATAATAAAGAGCAATAAAGTATGAGCACCATGTTTGGAAGTTATCTGCCTGCAACATGAAATACATTTAAACCGTTACAAAACAACTTCAACCGCACAACAACAGCAGCTACTACAACAACTTCAAAACGACTAACTGAATTAATTTAATATTTTATTGTTCACACATCACTGTTGAGTTTTACTTGAAAGACAAGATACGAAAAAAGAACAGACACGCGTGTGTAACAGTTATTCAACAGAACATCCCGTGCACCAGGTTGGAGTGTGTAGTTGTAGTTTGGGACGATTCGTTATATAAAAATATAATTTGTAAACTATATCATTCAGTTACGTTGATTAAGTGGATAATTAATATTGAAAACTAATTTAAGGACAAGTTTGTTTACAGAAATTAATTATGTATATATATATATATATATATATATATAGAGAGAGAGAGAGAGAGAGAGAGAGAGAGAGAGAGAAGACGACAAACTGTTAACGGATAGGTTCGTCTGGTTCTGCGTTGCAGTGACTGAGTTCGACTGCAGATCATCCCGCCTGTGATGCAGTGGTCCATGATGCGCTGTGTGTGTTTGTGTGTGTGTGTGCTGTTGAGTTCTTTGGGTGGTGGTGCATGAGACTAAAGAAACATTTCACTGTGTATAAAAGTCAACCGAGACAACAGTATGCAAGCAAAAAGCATTTGCAACTGAACACAGCACGTGAAGTGATTTAAAATGTGAATTACTAATAAAATAGAGAAAAAATAAAGATATTAAAAAACGAATACACTATAAAAGTTATTAAAAAAGGAAAATCAAATACTCCCGCTATTCTCTATAAAAGTTCATGCGTTGACGTAAAAGAAGCATTGTGGAGCTTATATTTGTAAGAACAGAAAAATATGCAGGATCTTTTCGCCTGGGATGCTTGCTTATTATATGAACCGCTGATTCGTGATTTAGGAATTTCGAAGGAAGCTTTTCGAAAAATTTATTTGCAGCCTAATCAACCATTAACAAAAACTCGAGAAGCAGTCGTATGTTATGAAGGGACAAGTTTTCGATCGCTTCTATGAGACCAGCCGACCTCCTTAGGCAAACCCAGCCATGAATTTACGATGAAAGACTGGACTTAGCTTGAAATATCTGGCACACCAAACTTATGATAAACTTTAATTTGCAATCTTAAAAAGACGTATATGTATTAACAAATGTTAATATCTCAAATGAAAATGTTTTAATGGTTTAGAGTTACTTTAATAAAACGTGACTCAATTTAAACGCTCTGAAAAATGTAACTATAATTGAACTCCCCTTAATACACACACACACACACACACACACACACACACACACACACACACACACACACACACACACACACACACATATATATATATATATATATATATATATTTATATAAATATACTTATTATTTTTATATACATATATAAATATATAATTTCAGAAGAAAAGAATAGCAAAGAAATAGGAACAATGAATGTTTTTCATCATTTGAATCACGTATCAAAGCACAATGAACTGTCCTAATGCGAGTTTACGTTATGTGTTTACCGATCCTATCTTGCATTTTATCCTGCTAATAATCTGCAATATATCACACACACACACAACACACACACACACACACACATATATATATATATATATATATATATATATATACAACTCTATGTGATGTGTGTTTGCTCTGGTGCGTGAACACATCTCGTGATGAATGTGATACAACATTAAAATGAATCAAATCATCCCCACTCATAGATAGGCACAGGCATTAAAAAATCTTATTGAAAAAGATTATTTTACAGTACTCAAAACACATATTTCAAAATAAATGTGATAGTTTTAAAATTCAAATTACTCATTTAATACCTAGTTCATTGATGCCAACCGTTACACTTGGTCCTGTGTTTTCTGTGGGTGTTTTTTGCTTGTCGCTTTTGATTGTCTGACCATTGATATTTTTCTGTGAAATACCGTAAGCATTTTAAAAACTATAAAAAGTTTCTAAGTGGAAACATTTTCGACTACCACACAGTCCTTTTTCACCATCAACATTTTTCTGATAAACAGCTCCTTTAAACTCTGTTCTTACCATACGTTCGTTCGATGATAATTTTTATTTGTTGTTGACTTCATTGTTAGTTTTTCATGAAAGAATAAGATGTTCAATATACGTCACACTTCGTCGTTCTGTGTTCATTTGTTCAGTCTCCATTCCATGCTCTTTCAAAAGAATTAAAATAGCCCAGTAATAAGAATATTGTGTTTTTTAATGAAATTTCATTAGTAAATTTGATTGAAAATGTTCTTTAGACTGGCCAGAACTTGCAACCAGATGTTGTTTTTTTGATGCTTTTGACGGGTGAAATTATTTCATGGTGATTTTGAAGATGGATCTCTGATTTTATTTCTATAAAACTTTTAAATTGTAAAAAAAATTAAAGAATAAGATGCAAACAGAGGTACATAATAAGCAGAAGGCTGCAGAGATGGAAGTCGTGATGTACTTGGTTGTCGGACCGGCACACGAGAGCCAACTTATTTCCTCAGATGTATTGGTTTTTCATTCATTCTGCTGGACAGTCAACTGCCGTCCAATGCACGCCAGGCTCGCTGAGCTTTCGACGTTTTCTGCAATTGAGTTAAGATGGTCGCAGAGAATAAACAACACGTAAACACGAAAACGCGTGCCAACGGTGAAAAGTATGTAAATTAGTAAAAAAAAATATGTAAATAAGTAAAAAATATGTAAATAAGTAAAAAATATGTAAATTAGAAAATAGTATGTAAATAAGTAAAAATTATGTAAACTAGAAAAAAATATGTAAATAAGTAAAAAGTATGTAAATTAGTAAAAAGTATGTAAATAAGTAAAAAATATGAAAATTAGTAAAAAATATGTAAATAAGTAAAAAATATGCAATATGTACCGGTTACGTAATTTGTTTGATTGGAAAATTGTATGCATTAATATGAGATTTCAAATAATTTTAAATGGTTTTTTGTGTGACATGATAACAAGT